TATAAAATAAAAAAATATGTATATGAAAATACTGTGACCGAAAAACTACGGTCCATACCAGAGTCGTCTGTTGCAGACACGAATAAAGATTAATTATCTATGTTTGAAATATAGCGGAGGCATTTACCGCTCAAGTTACTGTAAGCTTGACTAAAACTTATTTGTACCACAGATTCGTTCTTTTTTACGAGAGTAGATGTTGCCATATATTACTAAAGTTTCACGTATATTACTAACGTATTTATCTAATGTATAAAATTCTCGTGTCACAATGTTCGTTCCCATACTCCTCCGAAACGGCTCGATCGGTTCTTATGAATTTTTTTATGCATATTCAGTAAGTCTGAGAAACGGCTACTACCTATCTTTCAAACCCCGAAATGTTAAGAGTGGTCCACCCCAAAATTTTAAATTTAATTTTTTAGTGATACATGATACAAAAATACATACAACCCTTAATTTTCACCCCTCTACGATCCACCCCTATTTTTTATTATTGATAGTTATTTTTATTGAACTAAAAAAATGCTTCCTAGAAATAATATACATGGCAAAACGACGTTTGCCGGGTCAGCTAGTATATTTATAATATGGTCCAGGGGTGCCATATAAAGATACAACATATAAATGTGGTTTTATTATATTTATACATGACGTTTCGAAACCTGGTTTACCAAGAAGAATAAAATAAAATGTACCTTGTCACTTATAAGCAAGCGCTTGGTTCATTTTCCTTGTTTAGGTTCCCGTTATTATTATTCGTTCATACGAGCACAACATTTAAAAATTCAAAAATCATGTACATAGTTATCGAATTGGGGTAATCTAAAATTGTAAATTATTTTGATAAATGAAAGATTGATGATGAAGCGAATAAGGCAAATAGTTCGTTCTACGCGCTTTTAAAATTGGAAGCATTTAATTTTTGTATTGACAATATAACTAAATGATCTTTAAATTCATACATCGTTAAAATGCATATTAATTTAAAATACGAATACTAAATGTAATAATAGTAAATAATATTAAATAAAAATACATCTACAAATGTCAACGTTGCTCCATCTCGCGTGTATCGCAGTAATTGCTTTTACACTGACGAGTCCGTAATTGAAATGACTGTACCACGTTAGTATTGCATACAGCGGAAACGCGTGAAACGAATATTTATTAAAAAAAATGTAATCGATGCCTAATTACTGTCATAAGTTCATAAATGTTTTCAGAAAGAGCATTGTTTATGAAATGTATTAATTTAATTAAAAGAGAACTATTACAACACCATGGTAAATAACTTTTAAATAATATAATGTTTAATTCAAATAGCCTATAAACGATATTATTAGATTTTTGTTGTGTAAATTCTTGCGCAGGCACGATTCCAAAATTGTGAATCCGTGAATTTTATGTGATGATACTATTTATAACAATACAAACTAATGACTTCTTGGCATCCCGTGTAGGAAGATTACGCTTGTATCATTATAATCTGATAATAAATTGGTTATAATTCCTTCCTTCTATTCTAGACAAAAAAATATCTTGAATATTTCGTAAAGATCTAACAAAATGTAAAGAGTTTTTTTTGAGAGAAGAATTTAGTTCCGTTTATAATTCATAAAATGTATTATTTTAGTTTGTTTAAGAATACTACTTTAAAATTTCATACAACATATGGCATGAGCCCTTACTTATTGTGCTTGCAATAACAAGATCTTCATATGTTCAATAGATGAAAGACAGAGAGAAATGAAATTATTTCTATCCTAATTCCAATTTAGAGTCCCTGCTATGGTTGATATTAAAAACGAGATAGTGCGAACTATGAGTCCCGTATATTAATTAATTTGACGTATCTTCTGTCTCCCGAGACTTACTTAGGTTTATTCTGTCCTTGTAGTTCTTCGTTTATCGCTTGTGTTGACCATATTTTTGTATGCAAAAGATAAGAGACACTTTCTTTGTCGTAAATAGCTATTCTAATGCACTTACGAGTAAATCGCATTAAGAGATATTATTTTACATTTTCTTCAAAGTAGGATTAGAAGTTGTGGTAAACCACAGATTACTTGTGCCTTTGTTATAGATACTAAGTAGTCTTTTTGAACATTACTCTGCAAACTTAAACTAAACCTTATAGTTTTGCTTTTTAACTTTACAATCGTATTACATCTCAATTACATTATGTTAATCAAGAATGAAGCGTCTAAAGCCTTTATTAAATAATGGATTTAAAAAAAAACATTAATATATTTTTATTGCATGACTCGCGTAAGAATTATATGTACATTAAATTTAATTGTTGACTAAATGTCTCATGTGAGAATACAGCATCAAAATTACGTTACAAGGATTAGGTATTATGGAAATCTTTGTGTATTCAAGAGTCATGGTTAATTACGACAAAAAAAAACTTATAATATAATACAATTTCAATTTATAAACTAATTTAATTCACATACAAGTTTGCCTACATATGATTACATTATTTATCGTGAAACAAACTAAAGCTACTAAAAATATCCACAAACGAAAAAAAATTTAAATTGTCTTGTTAAATCACCACATGTACGATAAGATAAAAAACGATTTAAATCGGCCGAAAATTGATTAATTCCAGCAAGTGTTATTGGCTATCGAGAAGATTGCTCTCCAACGAACGGGCAATTAATATGAGGCTTTTTAATACAAATCAGACCTGAACAAAAGAATTTCCAAGTTTGGTTTCGGTTCCAAGTTTCTTAATTGAAAATGTTTTACAAAATAAATGTCAATTATTACTTATATAACACGGTCTCAGAAACGAAATAAATAAAATCAATAGAGCATTTATTCGAGAACTATAATTTTAAGTTTTATTTCTTATTATATTTAATAGTTTTACACGACCTTCTAAGCATTGAAGGCGTCCTCAAAATTATTCCACCATTCTCTAATCTTCGCTATTCTTTTTTTTTTGTTAAAGACAATTCACACCAATTGACCTAGTCCCATGCTAAGCTGGTGAAGCTTGTGTTATGGGTACTAGGCAACGGATATACATACATATTACAGATAGATAGACATATAAATACATATTTAAACACCCAAGACCTAAGCACAACACCAAATGCTCATCAGATCGATGTTCGTCTCAGCCGGGGATCGAACCCGGGACCCATGGATTCGCAGTCAGGGGTACTAACCACTAGACCAATGAGTCGTCGTCTATTCTTTTCCAATATTTCCTCTGATGTATCTTTTATTACATCTTAGGGACTACTGGTTCAAATTCAATTTGTGATTTCTATAGCAGATAAGATTGATAGACAAAAAGTAACAAAGGCTTATTCAATTCACGAATATTCTCGAACGATCACAGCAGATAATACTGGTCATATTATTATGGATAATATTACATAAAACATCGTTTTCTCCGTAAGTAAATTTTTCTTAAAATAATTGCACTGACAATGTTGCTACTTGAAAACTTTAGTATCTGCAGTGGCAACTCTCAAGCTCTGACATTTCGCTCAAGCACCGTTCTAGTTCATGTCCTGAATTCTAAATAAATAAGAAAAATAAAATCTCATTTCAGTATACAACAGAATACCTCGTTGTTATAGTTTGAAATTATTCTCAGTTAAGGATATCTCAGATTAATTAGAAGCTGTTACTATTAATTTAGTACCGAACGATTCCGAGTTGGGACTTAGTGCAAAATATGACTCCTACTTGTCAAATGTCATTACGTTTTTAATATATGGGATACGTCTTTTTCTCGAAAGTGTCCTGACCTACCTCTCTCGCTTCACCCACTTTCATGATTCACTATGCTCATCCTAATGGATATGTCACCGTAAAATTGTAAACACCGTTAGATTGTAGTGTAAACTGTCGAAAGATAGTCAACTCAACGTACTGCTTACAATTTAACGTATTATTATTCGGTAGATTGTAATCTATCGAAGTGAAACGTAGTGTAACTATTACCGCTGCCGGAAACATAACCTTTTCGCTGTGCGTTCGGCTCGAACTGTCCAGCGACAACAAGCGCCCATTCCTCGGCTACTCTCGCTACTTAATGGGTTTCTCGACTCTTAGCCGGAGTGCGACCTATTTGAGAAGCTTATGGGGGTAGTATACTGTGATTTCAGAGTATACTTGGAGGGGATTAGAGGATAGCACTACTGTCAATTTTGTAAATAACCTAATTGTATTTATTGTAGTTTTTTAGTCTAAGTTTGGCCATGGCTGTAAATAAATAAATAAATAAATTATACAAAGAACTAAATACAGGCGTTATGTATAGGTATAGGTCTCCTCCATTTTTCTTTTAATTTTATAAAATCGAGTCTTAACAATATATATATCGTGCTAGCTTTTGCCTGCTTATTGGTAGTAATAAAAGTACAACGGCTTATTTTATACCGATCTAATAATGATAAAAGAGTAATTTAAAATATCTACACTGCATATATGTTGTAGGTATATACAGGAGTGTCGGGATGAATGCTGAACCAATCCTAGTATATCAAATCTTAATACATATAAATTACGCGTCACTTTGTTTGTCCGCAATGGACTCCTAAACTACTTAACCAAATTCAATCAAATTTGCACACCGTGTGCAGTTTGATCTAACCTAAAAGATAGGATAGCTTTATAATATATATATACTGTACGTGTGGATGTCACTGATCTGAACGGCTGGACCGATTAGAATGATTTTTTGTATGCGTTTGGGTGGAGCCCTGGATGTTTTAGATTTACAAACTAGCCCGGCAGATGGCGCTGTAGTCGGTACTTTCATATTTTGTTTAATACCCTAATCAATTGAAATATCATCCAGGACAACGTCTGTCGGGTCCGCTAGTATATAATAAAACTTACACATAGGCCCAGATTACTTGAAAAATAACCCTAGAACGTTACGTTCGAACGAACGTTATTTTTCAAGTAATGCGAAATTATATCGGTAGAAATGCGAAATTAAGTAGTCTTGTACATTTTCACGGGTCATGGTAATACTAACTACTAATTACCATAAAACATGACAGTATCTTAATTTGTACCGATTCTCTAAACGGTCAAGTTAGATCTTTATTAAAACCTAGCGATTCAAACTGCTTCATTTGCTTTAAATGCGATCGTTAAGCTTTATATAAATATCCGTTTAAATTAGAGAATCGGTACAAATTGAGATAGTGTCATGTTTAATGGTAGTATAGTATTACCAAGACATGCTAAGAATGAAAGATAAAAACCAATCCCAATACAATTAATAATAATTTCTCCACAGCACGGGAATGCAACGACATCGAGTGAGACATCAGTTGGTACAAATACAGCGACTGCTGCCACCCCTGGAACAAGCAAAGCGCCTCCGCCAGCAGCCAAGTTCCGGCATGGCCTCCTCCAGCTCATGATACATACCATCGATCCGATGCACGATGGTGAGTTAGGTACGCACCGCGCTTCGCTTTTTCACTATTTTTCTAATTATAAGGGTCTGTTTATGCAAATTATAACAAGGACAATGATTAAGAAATCCTACAAATTATTACGAAATTTATTTCGTGCTGCTGATTTAATGGAATTTTGTCGATGTTATACAATGCAAAAATAGACATTATATATTTTTATATCTTATGCTACTATGTTACTTACGATTCTACAGTTGCAATATTTTTCCAAGTTGTACAATGATACAAACATATCTTATAAATTATTGGAATGTTATCAATATTTAAAGAAATGTAAGTATTCAAAAGAACAACTCAGTTTTTATATATTCTATGAAACCTTAATAGAGAAACTATCGCGATTATCTGATTGGGTTTGTACTCTAATAATGTGCCAAGCCAATAAAAAAAAGATTTAACACAAGAATTGCAAGTAACAAAAAGGAATATCTATTGAAATAATAAAGAATATATCGATTTCAATAGGTATCAAGATACAAGGCCTAAAGTGTTTAAACAGCTTTGTATCAAATGCAGTTTATGTGCTTTTTTTGTCTGTGGTTAACGATATCTTAAGCTGTTAAAATAGTTATATAAATAGACAAACATTTTTAGTTACTAATTAAAACGAGTAGATAACCTTTATTACATTTTAAATGCAATTTTTACTTTTATAATTATGTCCATAGTCCAATAATGCTGGTATTAAAATAGTACAATATTCTGAAAATTACTAAATTAGACTTAAGTATTTGTATAAAAAAAGCAATTCCAAAGTATTCAGGGAAGGACGTTTGAATAGCTCAAAGACTGTAACACTTTGGCATTCAAAGAAAACGGTTTAAGAGCTTCTTTTGATTGCCATTCAAAAATATCGCCCGAGTAAAATGTTTCTATTGTTAGACTTCAATTGTCAGACTTGATCGTCGCTTATTTTATACGGTTCACACACACGGACATAAAATACCTTTATCTAAGTATATTTACACTACAGCTCGGTTGTATCCTAATACAGATAAAAATTTACTATTGTATTGGTCATTTGGTGGTAAACATTAACTGTCGCGTGAGTATTGCATTATATGTTGGGCACTCACCCTTAAGGACTGTATTCACTTTGATTAGTGATTAGTGCAGGTGATTAGTCGGCTTGGCGTAGTAAAGTGATTAGAAGCGTGTTCCATTTTTTGCGAGTGAACTGCGAGTAGTGACCTCGCGAGCGCCCTCCCTTCCCCCTCACTCGCAGCGTGCCTGCCAAAACACGTCTGGACAAGCAGCAGGACTCTTCGGTCAACCTGAGAGCAAAGTAATATTCCCTCGTGTCATCAGCAGCCAATTCCTTATAGAGTTGGTAGCTTGCGCCATGAATGGGTCTTCTATTAATCAATTTTCGAACCCATACTTTTCTTGATCTTGCAAGTTCAGTTTCCAAAACTTCTTCGGTTTTAGATAGCACCGCGTTTAATACTTTTTTCAGTACTTCTTCCAATTGCGTGCGCGCTTCTCGATGTTCGTCCAAATTTCTGATCGACAGCTATCGACAACTGAATTTACTTAGCAGGGTCACTGAACAAGAATCGGACACTACTTGCACTACACACCTGCACTAATTATCCTCAATTACTAATCACTTGCACTCGCATTAATCAATGTGAATACAGCCTTGCGATTCTATAACTCACTTTTCGAACTCTCACAGCGGTTTTCGCAGCGGCGGTCGCGCTCAAATCAGTGGTGAAGCAGTCATTTTATGATTTGGCATTCTGATAAACAATAAACTACAAGGAGGTACCTTATATATAAAACGAAAATGAGTTACAGAATCGCAAGGCTGCACTAATTATCCCAATTACTAATAATTTGCACTCGCACTAATCAATGTGAACAGGCCTTTAGTTCTCGTCCAAATAGGGTTAAAACGTCCTGTATTTCAATTAAAGTAATTATCCTGCAAACCAACTCAGGGTCGCAAAAAATCATCACTTTTCTTTATAAAAGTTACGTATCGTATCAACTAAGCAGTGTTTATTGTGTATGGTTACAATAGTTACACAACCTATTACTTTTATAAAAAAAAATGTTTTATTAACGCGACCTAAAATGTTAAAGTAAAAAAATACACCGGATTAAGCGTTTATCATAATTGTAATACTAATTCGCATAGGAAAGTTTTATAATTCTAAAGTCTGCTTAGATAAAACGGCAAATGAGAAATTAATTAAAACTTTCAAACACAATGGCGTAGCTTTCCGTGTTTTTATAAGGAATGTATGAATAGATTACCATATTGACTTGGAATCTTTGAATTGATTATGGTTAAGCTTATTCGGGATTTAGTAATTTAAAGTACTAAAGTTTAATATCCTTGTGTACTTTTTTTTACTGATTCCTGCGTTTGCCAGTTCATCGATAGAAGAAAGAAGAACGAAGATCGGTACCAGCAAGTTTATGAAACGCATGTATAGGGGTCAAACCTACACTTGTCTCTCTAAGGAAAAAATAATTGTTAAAAAGACATAATTAAAACGTGCATCAAACTTCAAGTATTTCGCCGTATTGCGGATGTGTTATCGGGCTATAATAGTCGTGGATTGCAATTATATCTGCAAACAAGTGCATTTGTTAGATAAATAGGCTAGAGAAATTTAAAAAACATAATAATTCGATAATACAAATACTAAAGGTAATTTATCAGCCGTATAATTTTAATTTTTCACTGATGTCATATCAGGCTTTAAAAATATATTCTTTTGTTGTATCTACACTCAAGATTTGCTTTTGATGAAATTTTTTAGGGTGAGTTTAAGGGGATCTGAATGTTTAGTTCACAAATACAGTACCTCATCGGTACTTTATATTTTGATTTTATCCTATCTTAACTATCATGCATAGGTCCATTATTCTGTATAACTCGAGGTAAAACTATTTGTTACTAATGTTACATAGTGTTACTAATTATAATGAACTAATTTCACATGTAGTGAGTTGTTTCATAACTGTAATTATGAAACACAACACTTTTAACCCATATTAATATTATATCTAAAAGCTGAACTCACTATGTCCTAGGATCATATGTTTTATCTTAGTTTGAACCCATATTTTGTGGTATTTGTTTACTTCTGTTTGTCGTGAGTGTGAAAAGGGAAAGACCAGAAAATGTTGTATTGTGTATAACGAATAGAACATATCAATCGTGTCAAAAAATACAAAAATTTATCCAAAATGAGTCCAGCTTAAAGTAATCCTATCAATACAATTTTTAGTCCAAAACACTCAATTTATCACAATTTTTTATCCTATTTTAGTAGCATTTGTAAGTTAGTAACCAGTTACTTTCAATAAATAATTGTGTTAAATTTACATGTTACATCATGTAACAGCCCTCATTTATCGTTCAGTGTTTGAAACACACTCATGCTATATATTTTTAATTGAGCATGTACGCAAAAAACATCCTATTATATTCCAAATTTTACTGAAAGCAAAATTAATTAATGTTCATTATATCTGATACGAAGTAGCGGACAACTTTGTGATAGAACACAATGGAGCCATTGTGTTGGGATAAGCCTAACATTCACTATTAACATAGTCCAGATATGGTTACAATTTTTTTAATACGGAATGAAATGACTCTTGGGTCAGTGACCCTTTTTTGGTATGTATGTAACACATGTTGGTGCACTTGACAAGTCATTTATTAATATTAAGTAGACATTGATCTTTGTACTTTACATAAGCCAATGTAAAGTGTTATTTGAATGTAGCTAGCATAAATATTTTGTTTATTTATTCAAGTTCACTCATTAACATAATACTATACTACGGTATACGTTACTAACTCTTTTATCTGAAATACATGACAATTAAGGCAAACGTAAATGTTACAATGAAATATATACAAGTTAATAAAAATACCAAAGTTTTACGCAGAAAAAAATACCAGCAAAACAGTGGATTAGGTAGGTACGAGATAGGCACTTAACAATTCTTTCTTTAAAACTGACCAGCCCACTACCGAATATATCCAGCTCCGAATAAGTACTGCTTAATCCGTTACATTCACGAAGATTTCCAAAGACAGATGCCTGAACTACTAGGTTGTTTTTTCCAGATTGACTACATTAAAATAATGTTTTAATGTAGTCAATATATAACTTTCGAATAGGCCACGAACATCAAGGCACCTGCCCTGAAAAGGTGGGAGCTTGTAGTTTATTGTTTATCAGAATGCCAAATCATAAAATGACTGCTTCACGACTGATTTGAGAGCGACCGCCGATGCAAAAACCGCTGTGTGAGTTCGAAAAGTGAGTTACAGAATCGCAGGCCGCACTAAATTATTTCATAGAAATGATTTTATTGGATACGAAATTGAGAATAAATGAAGAATTAAATTAACTGCGTTCTCCAATCAAACTGGAGTTCTTGGAAAAAAATATGCTGAAATGATACACATTTTTGATTCTCCGTAAAGCATTTAAAATTTGTTAGATTACTAAAATATTTACTTCATTAAAATATTTATAATATTATTAACAATAAAAAGTAGCAGAAATTGTATAGCAAATAGAACTTTAATAGAGAAAGGATGGCAGCTAGCCAGTTCTAGAGAAAAATTCTTAGCCGGCATTTCAATCTAGATACAATGTTTTATAAAACAACGCTGACAATTAAAAAGGAACATTTTAGAAGCAGTAGAATAAAAATTAGTTTTATATAAATATTTCTCTGTGACAAACTAACAACAACTATGAAATGCTTATGTAATCCATACAAGTATTTTAATTTCTTGGCTGTGCATTAAAATTAAAATGATAAAAACTAACAAAGGTATTCTTGGAATGTTAGCCGCGGTCTAAAACATGATTTTAAATGCATATACATGCATGTGCATCACAAATAGTTTTAATTCATTAGCATTATTAGATTTCTCATAAGAATTTTTTTTTTTTTTTAATGGGCAATTCACACCAATTGACCTATTC